GTGCCTGGTCTGGCTTTGAACCGCGATCCTCAGATCTCAGCCTCCTGAGTAGCTAGGATTACAGGCGTGAGCCACCAGTGCCTGGTTTGTCTCTCTATTTCTGACCCCCTCAAACACAGATAAACAAGACAACAAGAAAAGAAAAAACTCATTTCCATTTCCTGGAAAAAGGAGATATCTTAGAGCTCTGATGCCATCATTTGCTAGGTAATGGCTTTGTTCAAATCACTTAGTTCCTCTGTGCCTCAGTTTCCTTATCTATAAACTAAAATAAATATAATACCTGCCCCTGCAGTCCTAGATGAGAATTATGTTACATAATGCACATAACTTTTTTCAACTGAGTACCTAAAGAGTTGAATTGTTCAAGGCATCAATTTAGCACCACTGGTCTCAATGGAAATTATCTCACTCCCCCATAATAAGCATTTTTCTGTTCTGCTAAAGAATCCCTCATGGGCTGGGAATGTGGCCTAGTGGTAGAGTGCTTGCCTGGCATGTATGAAGCTCTGGATTCAATTCCTCAGTACCACATAAACAGAAAAAGCCAGAAGTGGCGCTGTTGCTCTCAACTGGTAGAGTGCTAGCCTTGAGCAAAAGACGCTCAGGGACAGTGTCCAGACCCTGAGTTCAAGCCCAGGACTGGAAAAAAAAGTCCCTCAGAGGCCAGGCACCAGTGGCTCTTGCCTATAATCCTAGCTACTCAGGAATCTGAGATATGAGGAACACTGTTCAAGTCAGCCTGGACAGGAAAGTGTGATAATCTTATTCCCAATAAACCACTAAGAGAGGTAGAGTTATGGCTAAAGTGGTAGAGTGATAGCCTTGAGCAAAAGCAGCTCAGGGACAATGCCCAGGCCCTGAGTTCAAGCCACAGGACCAGCAAAAAAACAAACAAACAAAAAAAGAAGCAGCCACTCAGGTACAGCACTTAAACCCTGAGTTCAAGATCAACGCACCTGCGTACACACACACACACACACACACACACACACACACAAATACAAATGCATCAGGACATCCTGGATGGTGGAGACATCATGTAGGAAAACCAAAATGGGTGGGTGACTAAGCCCATGGTTACTTTTAGGTTTGTTTGTTGGCTTTCCTTTTTGAGATGGAGGCTTGAACTCAGAGCCTGGGCACTGCCCCTGAGCTGTTTTGCTCAAGGCAAAACACAACTTGAGCCACAGCTCTACTATTTTATTGGTGGCTAATTGGAGATAGGAGTCTCAAAACCTTTCCTGCCCAGGCTGGCTTTGAACCTCAGTCCTCAGATATCAACCTCCTCCTAAATAGCTAGAATTACAAGTATAAGCCATTGGTACCCAACTTTCTATTTTTTTATGTTCCATTTTTTGTTGGTTGTGAGGTTTGACGTCAGGTCCTGGATGTTGTCGCTGAGCTTTTCTGCTCAAAGCTAGTGTTCTACCACTTTAAGTCACAGCTTGATTTCTAGTTCCAATTTTCTAGTGGTTAATTGGATACAAGAATCTCGTGGACTTTCCTGCCAACAATGGTTTTTGAAGTATGATACTCAGATCTCAGCCTCCTGAGTAGCTAGGATTACAGGCATGAGCCACCAGTGTCTAGCACTACTTTCTAGTGTTTTGTTGGTTGGTTGGTTGATTTGGTTTTGGTCTATTGTGGGGATTGAACTCAGGGCCTGCGTGCTGTCCCTGAGCTTTTTTACTCTACCACTTTGAGTCACAGCACCACTTCCAATTTTCTAGTAGTTAATTGGAGATAAGCTCTCACCGACTTTTCTGCCCAGGCTGGTTCAAACTGTGATCCTCAGATCTCAGCCTCCTGAGTAGCTAGGATTACAGGAGTGAGCCACTGGGTGCCCAGCTTTCTAGTTTTATGTTCTAGGTTTCCCTAGGAATAGAACGTCAAACTGACTTTTTTTCCTTTTGCTTCTTTTCCCTATACCCCATCAGCTTTTTCTCCTAAAATCTGATTCTAAAGAGGCCAACCTGTATTTTGACAATCTGGTCAAGTTTGCTCTCTTGCTTCAGCAAATTCACATCTAGTAATGTATCCTGAAGTAACAAAAGAGCCTGTGAAGGATTTTGTTATCAGTATAGTCCTGTTAATGTTACTTTATAAACAGAAACTACCTCTAAGTCTAAGAGGGGAGGGTGGATCACTGTATCTCCAACATAACAGTTTGTAGTCATTACTCTGCAGCAGAAGGTTTTAATAACATGAGCAAATATTCAGAATGTGTTTTTTGGGTTTTTTTGTTGGTTGTGGGGCTTGAACTCTGGGCTTGGGCGCTGTCCCTGTGCTCTTCAGCTCAAGGCTAGCGCTCTGCCGCTTGAGCCACAGCGCCACTTCCGGCTTTTTTTTTCTTTTTGCTTATGTGGTGCTGAGGAATCAAACCCAGGGCCGCATGCATGCAAGGCAAGCACTCTACCACTGAGCCACCTTCCCAGCACCTGGCTTTATCTTCTGAACAGACAATTAAAACCCATGGTCCCAGGCTTGGTGCACAGGCTTGTAATTCCAACAGTTTGAGAGAGGAAGGAGAATCAGCATCAGGAGTTCAAGACTAGTCTGGGCTACCTAAGGACCTGTTTCCAAAAAAGAAATGAAAAAAAACCCATCGAGCCTGGTGGGCTGATGCATGCCTATAATCTTAGTACTCAGGAGACTGAGGCAGGAGAATCACAAATTCTAGGATTTCATTGCCAGGCCGAAGTGGGAAACCTAGTGAGAACCTGTTTCAAATAAATGTGTATATATTGCCCCCAACTAAAGATATTTTAGGTTTATTTGATCCTCACAACAATCCAAAGGCAAATCTTTCAAGTGAGGAAATTGAGTCCTAGAAAGATCTAAATACCAAAGATCCTACAATTAGTAAGTAGCAGAGTTAAGATTCAGAACCAAATATGAATATACTATGATGTTTTGGTGTGCCAATACTGGGGACTTGAACTCAGGACCCTGCATGGTTACTTGGTGTTTTCCTTCAAGGATGGCACTCTACCACTTGAACCATAGCTCCACTTCCAGCTTTTTGCTGGTTACTTCAAGATAAAAATCTTACAGACTTTTCTGCCTGAGCTGGCTT